GTTCAAATCTCACCAGGCTCAAGGTTGACTCAGTCTTCCATCTTTTCAAGGTAGGTAAAATGAGGACCCGGATTGTGTGGGCAATAAATTGACTCTGTATAAAAAAAAAAAAAGAACACCGCTTTGGGGCCCCCCGAAAGCCCTACTAAGCAGGTATATACAAAAGTATGAAGGCTATTACTTAACACATTGTAAGCCGCCCTGAGTCTCCGGAGAAGGGCGGCATATAAATCGATCGAACGAACAAACGAACAAACGAACAAACAAACAAACAAACAAACAAACAAACAAACAAACAAACAAACAGTCTAAACTATGGAAGTTTGAGCCTATCATTTGTGCCTTGACTCTGGACTGATTTTTTTAATGCTTAATTTGTTTTTTCCACGTCTCATCATGGTATTGTCAAGAATCCTTTCCAAGATAAAATTTAAAAGCTCCAGTACATTTTCTATCCTGCTTTTCAAAGTCTAACTTTTGCATCCGTGGAACATCATATAGAAAACCACAGTCTCACAATTTCACTCTTTGCAGGTTCAGACACATCACAACATTTGAAAATCTTTTCTAAGGTCTTCAATAATCCTACAAGAGCTAATCTATGGCATATTACTTGACTGATAATTCCTTTAAGGCAGAAGCTATCCACTACTTCTATGTCTTCATTTCCAATTCTAAGACTTGTGGCTGTACCTGCAGTCATTAAATGGGTTTTCTTTATATTTCTTGTGCAATGAAATTGAATGGAATGCTGATTGTTGTATATTTTAGATATTTTAGATATGGTACTTGCTGAATTAATAATTAATTAATTAATTTCCCATTGTTATCATTCTAAATATTTGAATCACTTTAATAATATATGTCACTCACAATTTTCTTTGCCGGGATCAATTTTCAGTTGTTTTAATGCTTTAGGTGAATTTGGACAACCATGTTTCTTTTTCTTTTTACATATTATACAGCTGTTGGGATCTATATATTAGCACTCCTAACTCCATTTTATCAGAGAGTGGTATGTATGTGGAATAGTACCAAACATTAAACAATTCAAAATGAAAAGAAGTAAAAGTATCTTCCATCTTGTAAAAGCTAAAATGAAATAGGCATAAAATGAAATAGCATGTTTTGCTAAGAACTGATCTGACAATATACCTTGAATCAATCCAGTGACAACACACTTGATAACAGATACACAGAAGGAAAAAAAATGATTCTAAATTTTATTCTGTTTTATTCTTTTAGCTTGCTTTCCATTCTAAAAGTCCCAAAGTGTACAATAAATGCTATCCTCTCTAATAAACCCGTGCTTAATTAACTGCTGTGAGAAGTTATACTTCATTCCATAATCTTCCAGATTGTGCCATTTAATGGCTTCGTGTTCCAGTTTTTTGAGTAATAAAAAACATTTCTAAAAAAGTCATGACTTTTTAATCAAATTCTTCACCAATTGTTTTAGCTTCTCTCTCTCAACAATTTGTGTACATCATCTCTCTTTTTAGCTTATTTCTCTTAATTCAGTGTCATTCATTTCAAATGCACAAAAATTAGGGTAGAAGTGGGGGAGGAGAGATTTCTCTTTTTAAAACATTTCTACCATCCCATATTTTTTAGTCATTATAATATCAAGATTCCTGGACATCAAACATGATATCCAAAATACTAAGTGGAAAAAAACTAATTCCATAATAGGAAGCACTACATATTGGCAAGATCATTTAATTAACTGCTTTCCATTATCCTCTGCAACAAGGTTGACATTTTTCAGATCTCTCTCTCTCTTTTTTAATTTAAGGGCTCTTGTTGTATAACTTATATTTCAGAGATTTTCTCAAGGGCAAAAGTCCATATAAAACAGATTTCAGTAAAAGTGATGGACAACTTGGGAGGCAGGTAACTGGATGGGATTTATATTACAAATAGCACTTAGTTGCATCTCTGTACAAAATTCCTACTTTCCTTGTGTGCCATTCTCGGACAGGTAAATAAACAAACAAATAAATCCATCAATCTATCCAGCCAGATAATTAATGTTATGCTCTCTGCTTTGTTGTGTCCCTGATAAAATTCATAATCTTTGTTCTACTGAGCAGACAGCTGGACAAACAAAATTATTTTTAAAAAATATTTTAAAAAAACCTACCTTCCTTTCCTTCTTTTTCCTGATGTGATAAAACTCTTTGTGTGCATGATTGGTGCCCCTAGTGCATCACAATAGTTTATCCTTATCACTCTACTTACTCAGGCCCAGAAGTATCAATAAAAGCAATTGCTACTTGTCTTGTACTTTGGATTGGCTAGAAATTGACACATCTTATAATTTGCAATAAATTCTACATAATTTCCTGTCTTGCTTTGTCAAGGAAAGCCACGGAAAGACCAGAATAAGTTCTGGCATGGTGGGACAAATGACAAAACACATTTACTGAAGGCACAGCATTTTATTTCCCAAGTGGCCAAGCAGGCTGTCATTGGGAAGCCACAAACAGGCTATGCAGGTATGAATATCTTATCATTTATGTCCCCCAGCAACCTCAGCCGGGATGTCCTATAAAATCATCAAGATCGGTAGCCATTATTAATATTAAGTTCCATGAATCTAATGTCTTTTTAAAGTCAATCACTCTGGTGATGTATATTGTAAGATTTTTCTTTCCAGGAGAATTGATTTAACTTCTTCATTATTTGGGCTGGGTTTTTTTTGGGGGGGTGTCTTTTTTTTCAGCTCAACAAGCCCCATTTTGATATACAGAACTGTATAGCACATCATTAGGAAAGCATTAGAAACCAGTAGTTTCAATTTTTGTTCTTTTCCTAATGATCCCATGGCAGAATTTGCTTTTTTTTCACGGCAGGTGAACTTTGGATGGATGCTTTCATTGAATTATCCAAGATCATGATCCCTAAGATCCTTTTTCTGGCTAATCACTGTTAACTCAGGAATTTATTTTCATATTTAACTGTCGTTATCGAAAGGTAGGCAGTTCAGTGGTTAAATCCCTAGTGCCGCATAATGGGGTGAGCTTCTGTTACTTGTCCCAGCTTCTGCCAACCTAGCAGTTTGAAAGCACATAAAAAATGCAAGTAGAAAAATAGGGACCACCTTTGGTGGGAAGGTAACAGCGTTCAGTGCGCCTTTGGCATTTAGTCATGCTGGCCACATGACCACAGAGATGTCTTTGGACAGTGCTGGCTCTTTGGTTTTGAAACGGAGATGAGCACCACCCCCTAGAGTCAGGAACAACTAGCACATGGGTGCAAGGGGAACCTTTACCTTTATACAAAATTACACTGAGGTTCATCGGCTCTTTTGATGCCATTTTACTAGTCCGATACTCCAGTTGCTGCTGAAACGGCATTGGTCGCGTTGGTGGATATCTCTGGAGGGCTCGGGATAGGGGTTGTTCCTCTATCCTGGTCCTGTTGGATCTCTCAGTGGCTTTTGATACCATTGACCATGATATCATGTTGCACCGGTTGGAGGGGTTGGGGGTAGGGGACACCGTTTTGCGGTGGTTCTCCTCCTATCTCTCTGACCGGTCACAATCTGTGTTGGCAGGGGGCAGCGGTCAACCCCGAGGTGCCTTGTTTGTGGGGTGCCACAAGGGTCGGTCCTCTCGCCCCTTCTGTTCAACATTTATGTAAAGTCACTGGGTGAGATCATCCGTGGCTTTGGGGTGGAGTTCCATCAGTATGCTGATGACACCCAGCTGTACATCTTCACCACAGGCCACCCCAGGCCATCACCCTTGAAGTAACAGGCTCCAACTCAACCCTTCCAAGACTGTGGCTTCCGGCGTCCTGATATAGCCAGCTGGCGCCATCGCTGGTTATTGGGGGTGAGTCATTGGCCCCCACGGAGAGGGCTCGCAACTTGGGCATCCTCCTGGATGCACGGCTGTCTTTAGAAGAGCATATGAAGGCCGTGGCCAGGGGAGCTTTTTGTCAGGTTCGCCTGATACGCCAGTTGCGTCCCTTTCTGGATCGGGACTCCCTACTCACAGTCACTCAAGCACTCGTCACCTCCCGCCTGGACTACTGCAATGCTCTCTACATGGGGCTCCCCTTGGGGTGCACCCGGAGGCTCCAACTGGTCCAGAATGCAGCCACGCGGGGGATTATGGGAGTGACGGGGCACTCCCATGTGACACCTCTCCTGTGCGAGCTGCACTGGCTCCCGGTGGTCTTCCGGGTGCGCTTCAAGGTGTTGGTGACCACATTTAAAGCGCTCCATGGCTTAGGGCCTGGATATTTACAAGACCACCTTCTGCCACCAATTGCCTCCCACCGGCCAATATGCTCACACAGAGAGAGCCTCCTCAGGGTGCCGTCGGCCAGACAATGTCGGCTGGTGACCCCCAGGGGGAGAGCCTTCTCTGTGGTGGCACCCGCCCTCTGGAACAACCTACCCTCAGAGATACGCACGATACCAGACCTCCAGACTTTTCGTTGGGCCCTTAAAACTCACTTATTTCATCTAGCCGGGCTGGCTTGATCCCATCCTTTGGTTTTAATTTGAAATTAATTTTAACTGGGTTATTTTAAATTGTGGCCGACATTATTTAATATTCTTTTAAACTGTTTTATTTTTTGTATGTTGTGTTTTTACTTTGGCTGTCCACCGCCCTGAGTCCTGCTGGAGAAGGGCGGTATAAAAATAAAATAAAATAAAATAAATAAATACTGTATTTTTCCTAGTGTTCTTTTAGGACCACCTAGAAATATTCTGTTTCATGAAGATGCCCTAGATATGGCTCATCTATCTTTTGCTTCAATAAGACAGACACTCCCTATCTCATTTTCCATAAACTTCCTGGTGAAAACATCAGAGGGAAGCAGAAGACCTATAAACCAAATTCTCCAGGGTCCTTTCCAACTAAATGCCAGATGTGATCCATGAAATGATGAAAAAAAGCTATGGAAGTTTATTAAAAATGATAAGTACACAAACATGCACATACATGTATGTGTAGTCCTATGTAATAAAATAAAAGACTTACAGAATATATTCAGGGTTAGACAGGAACTGGTCTATTGCAGAACAGCAGGAGGAACTTGGAGATAGTGGAACAGCCACTTTTAGTGCAGGAAGAAGGGACAGACAGACACAGTGGGACGAGGGAGGAAAGGAAAGAAAAACACAAAACAGGATTAATGAGAGATATAGCTACAAATAATCAGATAATTAAACTCCTAGCAAAGATTGTGCAAATAACATGGAATAACCAGAAGGATGCATCAACCAGCTCCTGGAAGAAAGTATAGATGATGACCCTTAGTATTTTATCTTGTTTATTACTCTGACAGTGGTAACTAATTCAATAGGAGAAGTTCTTTCTTCAAGATGGTGAAAGACAGAAGCAGAAGCTTGCTTTTTCTGGTCATTTATCAAAGACATGATTCATTTTGGCTGACATTGTGGGGTTGTCTAAATTTTACTTAATAATCCTTTCCTATTAGCAATAGCAATAGCACTTAGAATTATATACTGCTTCACGGTCTTCTCTAAGCGGTTTACAGAGTCTGCATATTGCCCCCAACAATCTGAGTCCTCATTTTACTGATCTCAGAAGGATGGATGGCTGAGTCAACCTTGAACTGGTGAAATTTCAACTTGGCCGGCAACCAGCAGAGGTAGTCTGCACTGCACCACCACAGCTCATTAACTTGTTATATTATCTCATTATTTTGAATTGTGAATGAAATGTGTGTTCATTTACTGCTTCTTTTACATATTTAAGAGTATAGATATTTGCATGTCTACTGGTCTACCTAGCTCAGTTTCAGGAGTTGACAAAAAAAAAATTCTTTCTTCTGGATTACAATGAAGTGGGACTTTTTATACAAAGCATATGTACTACATATCCATTCTTCAGATAGTAACAGCAGATTAGTCCTTTCATTCACAAGTTTAGTGTCCATGCACAAAAATCTCCATAGAACAAAATGTGAGCTTTCTCTTATTTCATCCCCATATTTGATAAGCGCATATAGTATATACAAATACTAAACAAACTCACAGACTGCATGCCTTCCTTATAGCTAACTCTTTCCACTAGAAGTTCCAGACAGATTAACTTAAATTAAGATAAAATCATTTCCTTTACAGATAAACCTATTACCAAGATCCTTCTGAGAAAGCCAGATGAACATTATTCTATACTGCCATAATGTCTTGGATTTCTGCCTTTAATGTGGCATGGTTTCCATGTTGCTTTAATATTATTTTCAATTTATTATTTTACTCCTAGAGAAATAATGATACAAACTAAAAAATATTACCTTTAAGCATCAGTTTAAAATAAACTTTACGGAAGTAAGAAAGAAGTCTATAACTGATCTATTTGTTCTTTCCAAATAGTATCAGAGTTTACTACCTTCAATACTCTATAAAGAGAGATTTGTAATCATGCAGCGTCTGCTGTAGACCCTTTGTGCTTGGTGGACATAGCAATAGCAACAGCACTTAGACTTATATACCGCTTTACAGTGCTTTATAGCCAGTGGTGGGCTTCAAATAATTTAACAACCGGTTCTCTGCCCCAATGACTGGCTGGGTAGGTGTGGCTGGGTGGTCATGTGACTGAATGGGCATGGTCAACTTGATGTCACTGAGTTGAGGGGCGCTTAGCCTCACCCAGCCTCTCATGACCATGGGGATGCTGCAACGGTCGTAAGTGTGAAAAACAGTCATAACTCACTTTTTTTCAGTGCCATTATAATTTTGAATGGTCACTAAATGAACTGTTGTAAGTCAAGGATTACCTGTACAAAAATAAAAAAGCTTCTTTGCTTGCAAAAAGCTGCCATATGCACCAATCATTAGACTAGAAATGGGAGAATACACACTGAAGATCAATGAGTCACAGCTGTCATGGAAAGCTAAACCATTCTGTCTGAATACTTTCCTTTTCTTCAGCAATACCTGCAACCCAGAGTTACAAATCAGGGTGGGTGCCAGAGCACATCGAGGAATTAAAATAGTTAAAATACAGCCAACTCTTGCTCATAAAGTGAAACCCTTTAGCAGACCACTCATTTAAGTTCTCCAGAAAGTGGGTGCGCATATTTGGGCTACAAAATGCCGAGCTAAAGAGACAAATTAACAATTTGAGTGAAGCTAATTCCATTCTGTCTTTGTTCAGACCTTGCTACAGAGAATATTTGCCTATGAATATAACTATCTAACTCTTTATCTTTAAGTGCTGACATCTGCTGTGAGCTATTAAGAAAGGTGGGGGCTGCTTTCTCCCTCTAAGAAAACATGTTTCTCCATTTCTAATCCAGGGAAATATATTCTTCCTTTTTAATCTTTCTCAAAATATTTCATTTTTCTAGGAGAGGGGTGGGTGCTAATTTTCTACAACTGGTGCCATGTTACTATGCCATATTATCATGACAACAAACTATAACAAATTGGAAGGAGAATCCACTTATTATCAGTGAGCAATCATGTAGCTTGGTCACTCTGAAGCAATGCAAGAGACTCCTGTCCCAAAGGTGCTTTTCCAAGAGACAACGGGACTTTCTGGAAACCAAGAAAGTTGAGTTACTTCTTGAAAAAAGCACCTTTGGGACAACCATGACCTGGATAACTGAAGAATCCCCATAGACAAGAGACTCCTGTGCTCAGTGAACTGACAAAGCACCTAGGAGAAGCAATCATTAAATCCATTTGCACCACTTAAAGATACCAGCTGGTCTCACTCACTTCACAAGATATCCTAAGGTAATCATCCAGATTTAAGGAAAAATCACATGCCCTCAGAAAGGCAGTAAAAAAATCAGACATAATGCCAAGTTTACATCCTGCCTCTCAGCCATTTCTTCTATGGCTATGCCAACCCTTCTGTAAATAGCTGTTCAAGCAAAACTGGCTGAGGAATTTTGGGAGTCCACAAGTCTTAAAGTTGACAAGGTTGGAGACCCCTGCACTAGAATCTTTCCATCCTGCGTTCCTTGCAGGATTAGCCCTGTGAAGTGGGGAAAGATTTCTTCCAACAACCAGTTTGCTGAACTGCTCAGAAATTTAACATATGGTTTTGGGAGAACTGGCAGGAGTAAACCGGCAGGAGCCCACCACTGTTTATAGCCCTCTCTAAGCACTTTACAGAGTCAGCATATTGCCCTCAACAACTTGGGTCCTCATTTTACCCACCTCAGAAGGATGGAAGGCTGAGTCAACCTTGAGCCTGGTGAGATTTGAACTGCCAAATTGCAGGCAGCTGACAGTCAGCAGAAGTAGCCTGCAGTACTGCACTCTAACCACTGCCCCATCATGGCTCATAGAATTCCTTAATTATAAGTAATAAATGACCCAATCTTTCTAGTTGTATTATAACATCAATTCTTCAGAGTAGCAGAGGTACTTCCAAGCAGGGCAGGCTGAAAAATGATACATTCCCTCTCCTTTTCAATCTTGCAACTGGGGGTGGGTGGCATAGAAAAAGGAATTTGCAGACAAAAAACCCACAATTTATTTAAGATTCTTTTTCACAATGAACCTATGAAGATGCACTGCTGTGAGCAAAGACATACAGTAGTTTACAATTTGCATTCCTCCAAAGCCTAAGAGGTTTCCATACAGTTATCGGATTAAACATAGTTACACTTATCAAATTGAACAGTTTCACATGAACACAGAGAGGCAAAAGTTATAGCAAAATTAGAAGTAAATGTGTGCTTCCATTCCTTATGCAATTTCACTGCTACATGTGGTTTCAGGCAAATGCCTGTGGTCACTGGAGGTAACGCAAATATCAAAGCCTGTTTGAAACAAAAGAAACAAATGTCTATACACTGTAGACCAGGGGTCCCCAATCCCTGGGCCGCATCCCAGTACCAGGCCTTGAGCCATTTGGAACTGGACCATAGAAGTGGCAGGTGAGCACAGGACCCCTCCACACACCTGGCTCAAAACCAGAAAAGTTGTGGGACTCTGCTGTAGACCATAGTTGGATATTTTCCAAGTAGCACCAAAAGAATTAGATTAGTGGTTATTGAGAAAAGCATCAGAATTTCACTTGTCAAGCAGGAAAACACCATTAAAATTATTTGTCCCAAATAAAATTAATACTAGAACTTTAAAAATTAGTTTAATCTGAAGCCAGTCCAAGGTAGAGAAAACAGTTTTGACTTTCAAAACTAGCACCTGAAAGGTTGGCAAGAAGATTTTGGCTGGCAGGAACAAAATGTCAATAAAGATTTTTAGATTCCAGGTGGTGTTTACATTGGGACCAACCGGCTTATGTACCTGTTTTCTTGCTAACAAGTCATTATGAACATTTAAATAAGATATTTATCACAAGATGCATGAGACAGAAAGTGAGAAATAAGATGAAAGAAAGAGGTCCCCAGACGAACAACAGAAAATAAGCGGTGGAAGCAATCTCGGAGAGTATCTATTTTAATTGTGTAGTGCCAAATCCACTACCAAAGCATCCCTAACAGATGGCCATTCAGACTTCATTTAAATGTTTCTATCATGGAGTCCCAAAAGTGCTTTTTCAAAAGGCAACTGGACTTTCTTTGTTTTTCCTTGAAGATGTTTCACTTCTCATCCAAGAAGCTTCCTCAGTTCTGACCTTTTGAAAAAGCATCTTTGGGACAACCATGACCTGGATGTCTGAGAATCTCCATAGACATACTTCTATCACAGAGCCTAAAACATAGCCTGCACTATGTTACTCAATACCTGAGTAACTGACGCCACTGCCGTATATAGTAGTTATTGAGTAACTTTTAGTTTACGGAGTACCATTCATCAAATGATAATAACTGTTCTAGGCCACATTTTATCATCTTTTCTATTAGTGTCTAATGGGAGATGTATCAAATGCTTTGCTGAAACAAAAGTTCACAGTGCTTATTGTACTGTGTCTTTATTGTCAACTAAACTAGTCACTGAGTTCAAAAAGGAGAGCAGATCAGTATATCAGAAATTTTTTTTAATCTGTGCCTGCTTCTTCAAGAAATGCATTATTGACTAAATCCTCACAAACTGATATTTTTTTTAATTTGATTTATATGCCACCCTTCTCCGGAGACTCAGGGCGGCTTACAATTAACAATCAACA